AATAATTCTTCACGGAATTTTGAAGTGCCCACGATAACAATATCGTGCATATTCATTACCATGATATATGCATTACCAAATACCGGCACATGTCTACAGACAGATGACAGAATTTTTATTTTTGGGTGAACTATTCCTTTAATGTTAATAAAACAACAAAATGCAGAGAAAAATCACTCACTATTCTTGACTGAAAAACTTTAGTACAGATGCTTTAATAGGAACCAATCTATATAGTGTTTTATTTTATATTTGTTCATTCAGTTCCTTGAATGCTCCTGCTAAATACATTTATTGTACCTGAAAATAAAGCACTGTTTGTTTTATTTGTATATTATGTGCATTTGTAATGTGTTGTTCTTATTTTTAATAACAAAGATAAAATAATGACAAAGATTTTAATTTTCGCCCACTTTCGCCTAAATATCCACCATTCTTTTTATATTTGTTACTTTGAAAGGCAAATTTTAAAGTAATAAAATATTACTATTTATACTTTATAATAGGGAAATTCGCTTGCAAAATAGTAAAACCCACATGGCAAAGAATTGTGATAAAACCGTGAATTGTGATATGTTTTTAAAATAAAAAATGTTTTTTGGCTGTACTGCTCAGACAACTTGCAAAATAGTGAAATTTAAAAAAAAAAAAAAAAAAAAAAAACCGTGATACGATATTTTTGCCATATCGCCCACCCCTATCTACAGCACTAAAAATAACACAGTTGGACTGTAAATGCAGCCAGTCAGACCTGATTGTCTGCGTTTGCTTCTAGCAGGCGAGGTAGAATCATCTCCAGGTGTTTATCGATGAATTCAGCAGCGTCCAGCTTCATGGTGGACAGCAGAGAAGGCCACATCTCAGACCTGACGGCCACTGAAAGAGAAAGAGCAAGATTAACAGGATTCAGGAGCAGCTGTTGGGATATTCCTGTGCGGATGCATCAGAGAGACGGACCGATAGACGGATGATGGGTTACGATGAGAATATCCAGGGCTAGATTCTCAGTCTCCGCCGGGTCGTTCCACTGAGCCGCCACCGAGCAGATCACGCTCAGAGCGTCCAGCAGGATCCGCGGGGCGATGTAAGAGCGTCCGATCTCTGTGAGCTCACTCGACTCCGTATAAACAACATCTGATGGCAAAATCTGGTTCAAGAGACGTAAGAGTGAGCACATACAAAACGCACCAGTGTAGAGTAATCGTTCCGTTCCTTGTTATCCCTCACCTTGTGTTTGTTGATGACGACACGCAGTTCTCCCAGAAGGCCGTGGGCCAGGCTGGAGCCGCCCAGCGAGGACAGGAGTTTCTTCACAGTCTGCTGAGCACGCTTACGCACATGCCACAGACGGGAGAGCAGCGCCATCACTGTGGCCTGATGGTACATCCTGAGGACAGCAGACATGTGTTTGAGTCACATGATCACTTCCGCATGAAGTAAAGATTTTACACTATTGTTGAAAGTCAAAATTGACCCCATTTACTTTCTTAAAGACTATTCCAGGTTTTTTTGTGAAAAATATAAGATTGTACATTTTTGTATAGAAATGTAATTTTTCAGCTGTAACGATGGGTTACTTAACGTAAACCCGGGTTCTTTGATAACAGAGTGAGGTGTTTCACTATGGGAATCGCTTTGGGCGTGACCAACGGCAGAAGCTCATATTACACCACTTCTTTCTTTGACAGACAGGTCGACCTGTGACCAGGCTCCGCCCCACCTATATCAGTCAGGTCGACCCCAGCCTTCACCCCAGTGAAACACCTCACTCTGTTATCAAAGTTTACGTTAAGTAACCCATCGTTCTTTTTCTAACTTCGCTCGGTGTTTCACTATGAGAGATATAGACCACTCCCGGATTGCACCCATATCACTGCTATCCAACAAAACAATTGAATGGGCTCCCAGCACTGCATGTGCTAACGATGGCTCAGACACGTCCAGTCCATAAAACCGCACAAAAGTATGTGGTGTAGCCCAACTTGCTGCTGAACAAATATCTTGAACAGAAACTCCCCTGTGTAAGGCCCATGATGTAGCCATCCCCCGAGTGGAGTGGGCTCTCAAGCCCTTAGGCGGTTGAATACCCTTGCAGATATAAGCTAAAGATATAGCATCTATGATCCAATGAGACAGCCGTTGATGAGACAATGGTTTCCCTTTGTTAGGAGTAGCCCACGACACAAACAGCTGGTTTTGAGTCCTAAAGCCTGCTGTTCTCCTCACATACATATGAAGAGCCCGTACCGGACATAATGAATTCAACTTTTGCTCCTCGGGAGAAGAGAACGGAGGAGGGTGAAAAGCTGCAAGTTCAGTAGATGGTCACCTATATGCTGAGTCAACTACCTTAGGCACAAAAGCCGGGTTAGGACGAAAGGAAACCTTAGTGAGCCTTGGAGCGAACTGCAAACATGACGGGCTAACAGACAACGCCTGTAAGTCACTCACATGCCTAGCTGTTACTAAGGCTATGAGCAGCACCGTCAAATATTGTTGCAAAATTGTGCAGGAGCACAACTCCCTCCAATGGCTCAAAAGGGTGTTGAGAAAGGGCTTCTAGGACGATGGATAAATCCCATAAAGGAACCATCTGTCTAAATACCGGCCATTTACGGCGTGCCCCTTTCATAAAATGACTTATCAAAGGGTGCTGGCCTGCCGATTTCTTGGCAAAACCTACATGACAAGCTGAAATAGCTGCTAAATACACCTTAATGGTGGAGAAAGCCTTTCCCTTATCTTATTCTATGGTCAGTCGCCGCAGACTGTGTGGCCGCTCCAGAAAGACAAGGGTCCTGCTTGTTAGCCACGCCACTCTCAGCATTCTAAGATTTTCACCGGCAATGACGCACAGTGAGTGCATGTTTGTGGATACGGACCCATACACACGATGCACATGGGGTGAGGGTCCATGCCCGAGATGGTAGCTCCACATGAGGATGGATCAACTCTACAGCATGATTTCACCATCTAGCTAGGTTCTTCTACAATTACCCCATCAAGTTCAGTCAGAAATCTTGGTGTAATCTTTGATGACCAGCTGACCTTCAAAGACCACATTGCAAAGACTGCTTGATCTTGCACAACATCAGAATGATCAGGCTCTTTCTAACGGAGCATGGCCCAAAAGAGCCCATGTTACACCTCTCTTTATCTCCTTGCACTGGCTTCCGGTTTGCGGCTCGCATCAAGTTCAAGACATTGATGCTTGCATATAGAACAGACACTGGCTCAGCACCCGCCTACTTCCACTCGCCATTACGAATCCACATCCCCTCCAGAAGTCTGAGATTCGCTAGTGATCGCTTTATGTATTCCCCAATTGTAAGTCGCTTTGTATAAAAGCGTCTGCAAAATGACTAAATGTATATGTAATGTAATTAAACCTTCTGAAGGCTCACCTTGACGCGTTAAACCTCTAGTTGACTTAACGTCACCTACCGCAGTAATTTAATACGTAGTAAGCCGATTTGAATAGCTCGCCTTGACGCGGACACTATTCTAATTGTTAGGATATCACTCAACACAATCCCGTCCAACTAACCTCGCGTTCAGTGACGGAGTCCAATGACGGCCCGTCTGTTGAACAGTTTAGCGAAATCAGCAAAGTCAGGATGTGCTGAGAGAGCTTGCTGCAGTCTCCCATGGGAAGAAAGTGTGAATGACTTTGGCAGAGGTGACAAAGACAGACGTGGTGTCATAGGAACTTCCGCAGTTGGTCACGCCCAAAGCGATTCCCATAGTGAAACACCGAGTGAAGTTAGAAAAATAACTTTTAATAATATTATAACATCTCTCTGGAATATTTTTTTTTTGTGATCAGCAGTGTTGTTATTGTTAACTAAAATAAACTATTGCATATTTTAAAATTTAAATAAAGCAGAAATAAAATAAAATATAAATATTCTATGAAAATCTTAATTAAAACACTTAAAAGACTTCCAATGTTGTTGTGGTAACTAAGAAATAAAACAATTTTAAGCAAATAAAACAATATAAAGCTAAATATAAATATTTTAAAACTTTTAATGATAAAAGCACAGTGAAATTACTAAAAGTGAAAATGTAAAAATAAAAGCTAATTCAAAATATGATATATTAATATTTTGAATTAGCTTTTAATTTTACATTTTTATATTGTAATAGTATATAAACAATACTGAAATAACACTATTGATTGGTCAATATTTTTGCATAATGAGGCAAAATAAATCAATCAAATGAGCATTTTACATTCATTTGTGTATTAATTTGCATATTCATTTGGTAAGTAGTTGTGTAATAAGTGGCTTAAGTGCATTCTTTAGTTTAAAAAAGTTTTAGGGTGATACAAGATCCCATTAGGCTTTAGTTTGCATATCATAGTCCATTTTTAGTGATCCTAGTGTTGCTCTAAAGTTTCCTAAATTAATATTTTTTATCATTACGAAAATAAATGATTTACAAATGCTTAATTTATATAATTATTGACATTTGTAGCATAAATAAATAAATAAAAAAGTGAATTAGAACATAGGTAATAATATACTGAATTAATAAATTCATAAATACATAATGAAAAATTATATTCTATTTAAAACATTCCAGGGGAAATTGCAGCAACTCACTGAGACTTGCTGTTGTTAAGTCTTTGAGGCTGATCCAGAAACAGTCTTTCACACAGCAACAGGATGGTGCACAGAGCTGTGGGTACAGGACAGGATTAACGCTGGCCAAAAAAATATACTGGATCTATTCAACAACTGGAGAGTTCTAACTTTCTTCACTGGCCTGAGAGAGGAACTTCTCGGTAGTGAACAGAGGCTTCTTTTCATCGAGTATCAGGTTCCAGAAGGATGCCAGCTTCGCTTCTGAAGACATAGAGGAACATGAAGATAAACGTCTCCAGCATGAGACACAGGAAAACTCTTATCGGTCTCAGTGTGAACGCTCACCGGGCACAGAGTCAAGCACAGACAGCCGACAGAGCAGCACAGAGGCAGCCACGCCTTCAGACAGCAGAGAATGCTGGGTATTCTGGGCAGCAGCTTTCTCCACAGTCTGGATGAGGAGAGGCAGGAATTCCACAGCCTGATTGAGAGCGTCGCCTGAACAGAGACACAAACGCTGTTCATTCTGACTAAACATCAGCAGCAGGAGGATAAATCTGAAGTGTCCCAGCAGCCTGACTGACCTTTGAAAGCCCCGATCAGGGCCTGCAGATACGCGTGGCGCACAGGGGATGTGGACGTCTTGAGGGTGAAGGCTTTTTTAAACCATTCTCTTAACTCTGAAGGCACGTCCACCGTGAAACGGCTCGTCCACTGAGATAAAACAGACACTGCATGCACCAGCGTCCCCTCATGGACTACAAACACACACATACACATGAGGAGAGAGAAAAACAATCAGCAGATATTAGGTTTTGTACACGTTTAAGAAATTTAGGACCATTAAAGATTGTTTAATGCACATCAAATTACAAATGTAATATAATTTTTCAACAAGTAAAAAAATTATATTAAGCCATTACATAAAAAAATTGGTAAAAATAAATAAAATCTTGATATTTAAAGTTAGGGATTTCCAAACTTTTTTGTCAATATTTGACCTTAAACATTTACTTGAAGTCCTAACGAATTTGTGAGTTATTCAATTTAATAATATTTAATATTATAGTAATATTTGCATGTTCACAGTTCTCTGATATCGCTTTGTGGTCGCATGACATCCAGGTAAACAAATAAAATATTTAATCTTTTTTAGTAAAAGTTTTATTTTGAATGTTTTTACTTTAAAACTATTTATTTGACGTACATTTGTGCATTTAGCAGGCACTTTTTTTCTAAAAACGGCTAAAAAGAGAGAACAAAAGCTATTCTAGGTTAGGAAGCAAGCTATAGGAGAGGAGTTTTTTTAATGCGAGTAATTTTACATAATTATGATTTTCAGTAAACAAACCCCCTGCTGTTCCCTCACAAATTCCAATTTATGAAAGCAGACTCAAGCATGCATGAACGGGCATGAAAAATGCATATTAAAAAAGTAATTTTTTAAAGGGGTCATATGATGCGATTTCAATTTTTCCTTTCTCTTTGGAGTGTTACAAGCTCTTTGTGCATAAAGAAAATCTGTAAAGTTGCAAAGACTAAAGTCTCAAATCCAAAGAGACATTATTTATAAAAGTTAAGAGTCAACCACGCCTACCTAAAACGGCTCGTTCTAACACGCCCCCACATGTCTACGTCACAATGCGGGAAGATTTGCATAAAGCCGACCCAAATGCCTAGAGCTGATCCGTGCTGGTCGCTGAGGAAATACATCAACTTCGCGCTGTGGATCGCCGGATCGGCTTTCACCGTGGACGAAGTGGAGTCCAGCCCGGTGTCGTCACATGTGGTTGCCGCAAGCCCGCTGGCCGCTCCTTCGTCGAATCCGCCGGCCGCACCGTTCACAAGCCCGCCGTGTGTGATGCTGTGTTTCGTTGTGAAAGCGAAACTACTTTGTTTGGCCTTCCAAAAATGGACACGACTAGAAATCAGTGGTTAAGTTGTATTTACAACACTGTTCCAGAACAGTTCAACCCAAATATTCAGATGTGTGCAGCACATTTTATGGAG